AAATTCCAGGGTAGCTGTCGACACAGCATCATCTCCCCTTTTTGCAACAATATCTCGCTCTCAAATCCACAATATCACATTAGACCCCGGCCCATTGGAACTTGAACAATGCGGCTACGTACCGTTGTGCTGGGCTCGCTGGCCCATGGGCTCACTACGTCTCCGCGACCGCACTCACATATTTGCTTGATGCGAGTGAGAAGGCCTGCTTCTACTCATATGTAGATTCCCCGCCAGCGAAGATTGCATTTTATTTCGCGGTTAGTATATCTGATAACTCTAATGGATTTTGATATAAGCGGCCAATTGCGATCGCTGGGTTGAATCGCTTGTCGTTGCTCCTCGCAGCATCAGCGTATGGGAACGGCGGCTGAATTCTGTGTTATATTTTGGCAGGTCCAATCGGGTGGCTCTTTCGATGTCGATTACTCAATCGTGGGTCCCGATGAGAAGGTGATTGTCGACGGGCACAGAGAGAGACAGGGAGATTTCGTCTTCAACGCCGAGACCGTAGGCGAGTACCGCTTCTGCTTTGACAATGAGATGTCTACGTTTGCGGAAAAGATGGTAGATTTTGAGATTGCGGTATGCTTTTTGTTCTCCGCACCTCCCACCTTTACCCCCGTATACTAATGTGCTGGATCTTGTTTTATCTAATCTTCATATACTTCTTTTCTCCACTCACAGGTCGAAAACGAAATAAAGGCCCAACTCCCTTCGAAACAAGGAGCACCCCCCGAACAAGCGTCTGCAGTCGAAGAATCCATTTTCAAGATCTCAGCTCAGCTGTCAACAATCAGCCGTAACCAGAAATACTTCCGGACGCGCGAAAATCGCAATTTCAGCACTGTGCGCAGTACTGAGCAGCGGATTTTCAATTTCAGCCTTATCGAGGGCATGATGATGATGACAATGGCCGGGCTGCAGGTGTTTATTGTTCGGTTCTTCTTCCAGGGTGCGAGGAAAGGTATACATTCTCTTCCACTGCTTCTTCTTATTTCTTTCACGGCTTTGAGATTAAGTTCCCTAAGCTGTGGGTCGTGATTTATTTCTTTGCCGGATACAGGTTTGCTGATGCTCGATATGTTTCTCTCCCTTTAGGCTACGTATGATAAGGTGGTCATCGGCCGGGATCTTTCTCTCTGGTTTGAATTAGGTTTTATTTTATTTTTTTTTTTTTCGTTCAGCGATCGGATGACATGGGCTTTTCTTATATTAATTTATGGCATAAATGAGAATAAGGTTGTTCATGTTCATATATTATTGGTATTTCTATTTGCACGCGTTATATAACCCGCTGGGAGTCTCGTTTACAGGGCTTTTATACAATTTTATCTTGTATTTGGGTGAAGTATTGGTTACTTTAATTTATTTTTAAAATTGCGGTGCAAGGCAGGCTGGTTCCTTGATAATTGCTAGCATTGCGCATCCGCTCCTGGAAAATTGATCAGGATTTCTTGCAGACAATTCCATCAGCTTAGAGCACGTTATCTCAGTAAACTCAGCCACTCCACTCCGAGCTAACCCAATCCGAACTACTGCTACTTTCTGCCAAGTCCTGCTAACATCTGAGCCAATCAACTGTCACGGGGCTTACACTAAACCTAAATGGGACATCCCCAGCAAACTCTTCGCGGAGCGTCTGAGAAAAAACGGTTCCTGTTTGTTAGCAACACGGGAACGATTTGCTCCAACCATAATGTTTGAGATAGAATCACTGTGCAACATCACTCATAGATCATTTCTCTACCACCTTGGAGGGTTAATTTTTCAATTTCCTGTCGATTGATGTAATTTTTATCTGAAAATACATATATTCTGAGTATGAAGTGTCGCGTCGAAAACTGCTACTATGATTTTGAACACGGGAACGATTTGCTAATTTTTCAACCATGATCATGTCTAGTCATCCAACGCCTTGATCTTGCCATCAAAACATCTATCCAGCCATCAGAGACTCTAGTCAAAGCACCGAGTGTATTTTCCAGCGACTTCCGGCAACTTCTGGCAACTTCTGACAACTTCTGAACTCTTGGCAACCTCACGCGGCACATCAACTTCTGACAACATCTCTGAACTCCTGACAACTTCTGGGATCTTCCGACAACTTCTGAACCAATCACATAACACTTCTTTTTGACAGCTGGGTCGGACAACATCCCATCAACTGCATCAAATATGGCCAAGGGGGATCGAAGAAAACGCGCAAGTCAGCTACAACAGCGGCTTCAAAAGCCATCATTAAAGCAAATACTTTCAATGAACATTGAAGATATGCCACAACTTGTCATGAGCTATGCCGGACCAGATAGTATCGACAAGCAACAGGATGTTATTCAGTATTGTCTTCAACGAATACTTCAAGGCCCGCGTCCAGATCCTGAGTGTACTCTTCAGCCACGCATAGAACAAGTCCGTATACTTCGGCGCATGATATATGGATATAGCGACACTTTATTCATTGCCAGAACTGGCTATGGAAAGAGCCTTATTCTTCAATCCTATACAATTCTGACAGGAAAGATAACCATTCAACTGGTTCCTCTAAACAAGCTTGGTGATCAGCAAACAAGAGATATAGCACGGTTTCCCGGTGCCAATCCTTGTCTGGTCAGTGCTGATAATCTCCAGGGGCAAGAAGACTTACTCAAACGCATTCAACAAGGTGAGTATACACATATACTGCTCAGTCCAGAGCAAGCTCTTTGCAAGCGATTTCAGCATGTTCTTCAAGACCCTACTTTACAAGAAAAGATTGGGCTTGTAGCTATCGATGAGTGTCATCTTGTCACACAGTGGAGTCAATTCCGTAGTCAGTTTGCCAGGCTGGGGCACCTGAGATTGCTTCTTCGTGAGGATATTGTCTGGTTTGGCTGTTCCGCAACCCTCAGCAGTAAAGCTGAAGATATCATTCTTCAAGAGGCTGGATTTCGTTCTATTGGTGTAAACCCACGGCAGACTCAGGTTATTCGAACTTCCATTAACCGTCCCTGATATCTTTATCGGCGTACATCCGATTCCACGCGGTAAACTTGTATCCTATGATATGTTATATTTTTTATTGAACGAGGCCATTGATACAGATGGAAAGATCATACCTCAACACATTTTAAAGACCATTGTCTTTATTGACAGTCATGTCAAGGTTCAACAAGCAGTGCAATATTTCCGATCAATACTTCTTCAGATCTGTCAGAATAACAGGCAGAATGTCAACAATACTGACACCTCTTTCATCAATGACACCATTCAGCATTTCACATCTCGAGTGTCTGAAGTGGATCAGAATATTCGCTTCGAGGAGTTCATGAAACCTAAGTCAATGGTATCCAGATCAGAATCGTGATTGAATTTTGCAAAGAAGGGAGTATTGATAAGGCATTTCAGCTCCTGTTTAAGCAAGACAGTATAACGTTGATTATCATTGAATACCCCTGCTTTGGAAAGTGCTGAATATAGTGCATTTCGCCGCTTCGTAGGAGTACTGTATCGTCGATGAGTCAAGATATCGGGACTCTGAATCCAAGCCTCTATAAAGGCCTCCATTCCCCAACTGTTTCGCTGTAATGTTCTGACAACGCGAGATAATTTTGACCGTCTTTTCTGCCGGTTATAAGGCATTGTAGGCAGGTGCTGTGGGCCACGGCGGTTTGATCGTGAACAAGCTCGCGGGGTATCGGTATCAGTATCGGTGATCTCGAATTCCGAAGGAGTATCAATAGATTCAAGCTCTGTTAAGTCACTGTCTGATGTGTCATATTCATCATCTACATTGTTGGGAGACTGTAGTGGTTGTAGAGAGGATTCATCTTCGAGTGATGAAGGATATTGGCTGGAGCGCGTCTGACATTGGGTGTCTTGAGATTCAAAAGACACGCTGTCTTTTGTCAACGATTGTGACATGATGAGAAGGGGTAGTGAGTTGTAAAATAGCAGAGATGATAGCAGAATGGCTGAGGATTTGAAAAATATCGGTTTGGTGATGATCAGGCAGATATTTAGGGTAGATGTATGATTTCGAAGTCAATCGAATATTTTGTATGGGCGGTGTTGATTTTCCACACACGATGGAACCGTTTCTTCTCAGACTCTCTACGAGATATTAGGTTGCGAGCACGTGTGAAGTCTCTTATTGGTCCAGAAGTTAGCAGGACTTGGCAGAAGTCTAAAGGAGTTTAGTTGGTCGCGCTAATCCGAAAATATCGAGAAGAGAGGCTGAGCCTGCTGAGATAAAGAGCACGCGGTGTCAAGTAACAAATCACGTGATATCTGTGGCAATGATGATGCATGGATGCCATGACCTCATTGACTTCGCGAGATCATGTTTTGCAAAGAGTCCTGGCCAGATACAGCCCACCGATTAGTTAAACTACATAATTAATTAACTATATTTTCTTGATTACATGATATATTTTGTATACGCTCCAGTTGTCATTGAGGTGAATACTTGAGAATCGTGCAAGCGGCCTATCTTCTCCGTGTAGGGATCAAGTACCTCCGTTTGCTCGGGGTTGTTTAATATAATTACAATAGACTTGAGGCGTCTCTATTGTGGGTTACGAGTTCTTCACTAGACCCGATATGGAGCTATATCCACCATATGGCGAGTTCCGTGGCTCCCCATAATCGCCCACTAGGCCTTTTCATGGTCGATGAAAGGCGCAAACAACAGGAAATTCCATCGATTGTGTTCCTGGACGTCATACATGTGGAAGGTTTTGATAAGCCATCTCCCCACCTGGCCAGAGGATTATCAGACCAGACTTCGCGACTTTAAATGCTCCGGCCATTGACTGGCATTGACAATTCAACCTTGCTCAGCCTTGAGAATATCGTGCCTATGTACGAATACGAAGTATGGTGGGGTGAGTGGCTGCACTCCCGCTCGAGAAATTATTAAATTTGCCTAGCGGAAACCGTTAACTATGTTGGTTTGCTGGGCTGAATTATCAAACTATATCGTCATCGCCCTGTCAGTGACGACATAACTTCATGAATACTTTATTTCCTCACATAAAACTCCCAAAACCTAGGTAGTTTTTCATTGTTTTCTGGATCAGTCACGCTTCACACGTTCCCTTCTCAACATCGTCGCGCGGTAAGTTGTTAGCCACAACTTTTTCACCTTTTGAATGTTCAACGTCCCCTCCGATGTATGTAGGTACTCGTCCCCCAATCTTCCCGCCGTGG